CCTCAAAAGTTGTACTCTTAGAGGCCAGTGGGAATATCAATATGAATTTTGCACTGAATGGGTGCCTAATCATAGGAACACTGGACGGGGCTAATATGGAAATCAGAGAGAAAATTGGGGAAGATAATGTTTTCCTTTTTGATGTAAGAGCTGAAGAAGTGCCTCTTCTGCGCAAAGAAAGAGAAAACAGTCAATTTAAATCAGATTCTAGGATTAAAGAGAGCTTTGTGAGGCAGTTTTCAGATTCCAACCTTGAGGACAAGGTTATTTTGAAGGAGGATGGATTCATATAGAGCAGGGAAAGTAGGGAAAGCAGGGGGCTGTGTGGAAGAGGAGGGTCGGAGACCCAAGGGGCTATCGGTTTACTGCAGGCGGGAACGGGCTTGAGCCCACCTTCGTGGGCTGGTTGCATGCTGCTTAATTAATATTTTTTATTTTTAATTTTTCTGATTTGTTTCCTATTTGGAGTTAATTAGGATTCCTATTATTTGTTTCCTATTAAGAGTTGATTAGGATCTCTATTATTTTGTTTCCTAGTTGGAGTTGATTAGGATTTCTACGATTTTGTTTCCTAGTTTTAGAATTAGTAGATGGGAAGGGTAGGATTTTAGTCTTGTTAAGATTCATTTGGGCTCATCTTGGAATAAAGTTGGATTTTAGCCTTTTGGCTCTAGGCAACGGTATTTTTATCGTTGATTATCTGGGTAACGGTTTACCCCGTTGATTTTTAGTTTTCGGTTCACAACACCACCCCAAAAGAAACACTGAGAGTAAGAACAATACGAACTGTGGTGGGTTTAATAACATGACTAAAAGTCTCAAAAAAAATTCACACCCGTCTGCTGATTAAATCCCTGTGCAACCAAACGGGCTTTGTAACGTTCAATAGATCCATCAGAATGATACCTAGTCTTATAAATCCACTTCGACCCAACTATGATTAGTAATAAGAACATTAAACTCATTAGCCATAGTCTCTCGCCATTTCAAATGTTTATTAGCCTTTGAAAAACACGTGGGATCCGCTAAAATAACAAATGTATTTAAATTGAAAATAGATTTGGGTTTTAAAATTTTGCCTGAGTTTGCATGAGGTGGACATTGACCGGGGGAATGGGATGTGTTGAGGTGGTTGATGATTCAGACTGGGCACGCTGGTCAGGTGGGTCAATCGGGACAGATTGGGCAGACGACTCAGGCTAGGCACACGGGTCAGTGGGGTCTATGGAGGCACACGAAACGGGCAGGTCAGGTGAGAGGGAGAGACTGAGTAGAGGGTTTTGGTTAGGGAGGTGTCTTAAGCGGAGAAGAGAATGAATTTAAGACCAGAGGAGGTGGATCGGAGGTCATACGAGAAATTGAGGACGTGACTTGAGAGGGACGAGATGAGATGGAGCCAGAAGTTGCCGGCAAGGAGGAAACAGGGGGGCATGGCAGGGAAGGGCTAGGACGAAGGATGTCGGTAAGAAAAAATAGAGACTTATCGGGGAAAAACATAAAGATTTAAATGAAAATTTTCATGAAAACGGCCCCCTCATTTTGTCCTCCTGCTCGCTAGCAGTCGCCTTTGATTTGGAAGGGCGAAGTGTCTCAGCGCTGGACAGCACAACTACGATAAAAATAAATTGTTCCCACCCCCACGGATGAAAACGAAGGTGCCTCAAGGTATACAGTTTGGTAAATAAAAGATCAGGACACCTAGTGAGCTCATATTTTGACTGGGAAACCTACTCTATTTGGTGAAACCAGAGAAAAGAGCAGGCAGCGAATGATCAAGCAATGAAATCCTCCTTTGTCGACCTGAAGCTGAAGTGAAGGAGGGAATGATAATCCTTATAATCAGATGCATAACCAAGAAAAACGTATTGGACAGAATGAGGAGAAAGTTTATTAGAAGCATAAATATTATGATAGCACGCACAATAAAAAACACACAAAAAAACGAAAAATTTGTGCTTCTTTGTTATGAAGTAGTTGTCAGTCTATGTAACTTTCAACGCGATTTTCATGGGTCACCCGGAAACAGTCTCTCTATGTACATTCAACGCCCCTTACCCCATCGTAGGTGCGAGCCATTGCGACATTAGAGTAATATTGTTGTTGTTGTTGTGAGACAAAACAGGATATTGCCAAACATCATAACAAATATAACTAACATCCTAAAAGGTAATCATTTGATTTGCCTAACCTGCAGGAAATACAATCATGCAAAAATACGTAAAATATTTTCTCCACAATGACCTAATCTACAATGTTAGATTGGACTAGAAGTAGTCACTGAAGACAAGGCTAGAGGAGTAGGAGGACACAAGCTGATAGGGTAGGAATGCCCATTACTGGTTGTTTGTAGAAGGACTGCCCCTGAAATTTTGTCCTTCACAAAAATGAATTTTTATCAAATTTGATGTGAGACACATGATAAACGGATTAACTAACAGTTGGCGGCTAGATGTCTTTAAATGAACATCACCAATTTTTCTAATGGAAAATGGAGTACCATTATCAACACTAACAGAGATGGGACCATCGTTAGGAGATTTATTAATTTTTTTTTGGAATATTCTTCTAAACCTATTATAGTATCTACTCATGCTAATGTCAACATCCTTGATTGGGATGAGACTCGAACCTGTGACCTTCTCTTTGGGAGATCAGCAGTGATGTCATCAGACCACAAGGTACTTGGCAGTAGATTTATTAACTTAAATACCTTGAGAGGAAGTCATGTGCGCAGAGACACTAGAATCAAGATACCACAAGGCATTGTTAGATTCACCACCGGGAGTCAGGAGAGCCGGTGAAGAAGTCCGAGTAAAACGATAAGGAAAGTGGTGTGCAGAATGACCTGGAGGAAAAACCTGAATTAGTATTTGACAAACAACTACAGGTGGGATAAACTCAAGAATACTCTCGGTTGATGGAAAGTCCGTAAAACCTGAATTAGTATCACAAGTAGATAAAGGGTTAGTATCTAAATGTGACAAAACAAAATTACTAATAGCACCTGTAATGTTGGGGCTGTCGCACCCCATGCGGCCTAGGCAAAACATGGAATATGAGGTGTAGGTGGTTGCTGTTCTTGTAGCGGATTGTGGCCCCTGCCTCACAGTCGTGGCCTCCTCTGCCACAACCTGCTCTCCCACAGGGTACCGGTGCATGCTGGCCGTGAGCAATAGTAGTAGCCTTGGTCGAGTCCTGTTGCCAGAGATGGTAATAGCCTCATATATGGTATGTGAAAGGGATTTTTTTGGGAAATAAAGAGATGATAGTAACAAGGGATTCACATTCTGGTCCCAATCCAAGATTGGTGTACTGAAGTAAATCTGAGTTAGACACGAGAGAATTAATAGCTGCAAAGGTATCAGCTAATATCTTAATGTCCTTTACATAGTGTTTCATAGATTGATTGTCTTCATTTTTAATGTGAGAGAGCTGAGTTCCATGGAATGGGCTAAACTAGCACACACGAAACGAGTTTGCAGCCGATCCCATATACCAAAGAAGTGCTTAACATCATGTACATCAACCAACACATCACAGGAAAGAGTAACAAACAACCAAAAACGAATTGTTTGATCCACTCTCGGTTAGTGATAATATTTGGTATTAATAATTTGACGATTATTAAAGTCAACGATGTACATGGAGAGTACCTAAATGGAGCTATCAACAACACCAAAATAACTTTGGGAAACCAAGAATGACTCAAACTGAGTCCGCCACGTGATGTAATCTTCGACAACCTTGAGTTTGGTAGTAACAATCCATGTGACATCGGAGAAAACATAGGAGAGTGATTGAGCCAATGGTGCCATGGGAGAGCCAAAGATGGGATCATTTGACGTTGGCCGAGAGACACCCGGAGAGTCGGAAAACGTGGACCCAAAAAACGCAGATATCATGGGAACTGGGGAGGCAGACTGTCAAACAAAGAATCCGCACCGCTCGTTGAAAACGTTGCCACGCCAGACATCGGAACCAAGAATGAGACCGACTGCGACGCCATATGGAGGGCAGCGCCAGGCATGGGTGCGATCGACATGGCTGGACAAAAAGTGGTAGGTTTTGGAGGTTAAGTTCTCGTATAAAATATAATGAGCTAGATTACCTTCTTCCAAACAACATATATGATATTAACCTAGGTTCACCATATTTATTTCCAAACAATATTTTACGCATGAACCTAGGTTCAGTTAGGTTAGCCTAGTTTTTATTAAAGTTTAAGTTTACTTTATTATACTAGGTACTTAAGTTCACTTTACCCGAACGGAGCATTAAACTTTCAAAGAAACTTGAGCATACCTTAATACTTTAACTTGACCTTTTGAACACTTGATCAAAACTATAATTGGAACCTCTTCTTGAACTGAAACGATTAATATGACTTTGAACTTATGAACTCATAATTTCATGAGCATATAACATTACTTTTAGAGAAATTATGGTCCAAAACCCAGTAACAATAGAAAACCTACTGTAATACTTTTAAAACTATGATAGCTATATTACTTCCTCTATTTTAATTATCCCAAAATGATTTTCCACTTCCTATTTTAGGCATTGAAAGTTGAATAACGTGATCCTTACTATTTACCCCTTTCCAATTTACTTAAAAGCCTCTACTTTATAGGAGAAAGCACAAAATAGTAAAGCCAAACATATTTTTTACCCTCCTTAATTCTTGTGCCTGTCAACTTTTGGAAATCAAATTGGGAGAAGGGGAGTACTATTTGTATACATTTAATTGTTCCGACATCCTAGGTTTCCAACCTTTATGGCCTAATAGGAAAAGTATAACCTTTCAGTCCAGCCTGGAGTGTGGGAGGTTATGATTCTTTCTTTTCCATAATAAATAGTCGCAGCTGGAACACTGGATATCTTAGCAGATTTATTTCATATTGGTGACTGCGCCCCAACGTTTATATAAGGGAATGCTGAATTCAGTAAAGTGTATAATCAAGTCAATAAATTAAGTGTAACCCTGTGCTATAAAATTGCAGGCATTGGCATTGGCAATGGCTTACCAGAGTGTCACTGATCATCACAAGCAACGTCCACCGATAGATAATCTCGGACCAAATGAAACCATCCCCAATCCACCTTCATCCCCTATCCCGGCACGACAATTGCGTGCCTATTAGGTCCAACTATGCTGTTGATAGGTAATCCTATCTATATACCAAGATTGAACATGGGTTGGTCTTACTGTTGTTGCACCTATCATATGAATATTAAGAAGTGTTTTGACTATGGGCATCATAATATTGTTTACAAGCTTTTGTGGCATTGTTTGGATGGGAAGACTAGCAAAGCTCTATAATGATACAGTAACGCTAAAATAAAGAGGATGAGTAATTTTTTCATGTACACAATGGTTTTTCAATTTTGTTCTTCAAGTTATTGCATAAAGTTTCCATCATTTTTAATGGAGTCAAAAACTCACTATTTTTTGGTTTGAGAATATGATGAAATAAAGAAAAATGGCCCACTCAGTTGTATACGCTTCTTTGTTATGAAACAATAGTTAGTCCATGCAATTTTCGACGCCATTTTAATAATGGTTCATCTGTATGCGCCACTTTGTGCTTTAGTACAAGGTTAAAGTTGCGTACATCCGACCTCCCTTACCTCACCGTAGGTAGGTACCTTTACGACGCTGAGATAATGTTGTTTTTTTGTAAGTTATTGTATATAGTTAAATTGCTTATGGAAAAGTGTTTTGAGTAACTTTTTGTTGGATATGATATAATGTAATTGCACTAAAACGTAAAACGTAACGATACCCCGCCGCACTAACATTGAAATGTGAGGATATACTGTGGTTTTTAAGAGAAGCGGATTTAGGTGGTTGATAGTGATAAAGTAAGAATAAAGTAAGAATGATTTAGAAGAATTCAATTTTTTTCAAATTTGGTTGGAACAATCTTAGTGGGACCTATTGAAAAAGAAAGATGAGACAACTTTAGTGAGATAGAGAGAGTAATACTCATATAATATGAATAGAGTAATATCTATTTAAAGCCCATTTGGTAATACTGAAGATGACTGAATTTATTGAAATCGGTGAAAATGGATTGAAACGTCTGAATGAGTTAAATCTGTTGAACTATAAAAAAATACTCCCTCCGTCCCTTAAAGGATTACCAAGTTTGATCGACACGTAGAATAATAAAGTAAAAATTGTGTGGTAGAGATTTGTGCACAAATTGATTGATTAAAAGGGAAAGTGTCAAAGTATTGGGACAACCAAAAAAGGAATGTTGGTAAAGTTATAAGGGATGTGAGTATGTAAAATGTATTTTTATTAATAAAATAATGAAAAATAGTATGAAAATAGCTTAAGAGTCCAATTCAGAAATTCAATCAATTTGATAGGAAAAAGTATGTCCAATATTACTTGTTTTGATTGCTACGAAATTTAGTGTACCAAAACAATTACCTATTTGATAAAAAGTTGACTGATAAGATTGATATGTCGAAAAGAGGTGTTACCAAACGGACTTTTAGTACTAATAAAGTAGACTAAATTTCAAATGAAATTGATTTGTATTTAAATCACTATTAGGTCCATTCTTTTAAAATTGACAATTTCAGATTTACTTTTGAATTTTTAACTCGCTGATTACTTTAAAAAACATTGATATGATAAGTCATCGAAAGTCGAAACCTGTCAAATAGGCCCTTATATATTAGAAAAAGTCAATTAAAGCCATCAAATTAAAACACGCACACAAACTTTAGAAAAACATTAAACATTGTAATATAGTGAGTTAAGGTCTGGTTAAATTGTATGTAATAACCAGTTAGGCCCAAAACCCCACCAAGTTGTTTCAAATTGCCCGGTATGGGCCATTCTAGTACTGCTTGTATCTTACTAGTCTCCCTTGCTAGTCCATGAGCAGAAACCATATGGCCCAAATATTCCACTTGTTGCTGGCAGAAGTCGCACTAACTTCAAAACCAATTCCAAGTGTTGTAGATGAAATCCCTGTAAACCAAAATATCGTCACAAAATACCAGAACGTACTTTGATAAGTTGTGAAATACACCATTCATGAGACTGAAAAGTTTCAAGAGCATTTGAGAGGCCAAATGGCATAACCAGCCACTCATATAACCCTTGATGAGTTCGAAAGGCCGTTTTATGTCTATCCTCTTCTTTGATCAAGATTTGATGATAACCACACTAAGGGTCAAGCTTAAAAAACTATTTAGCCCCAAACAGTTCGTCAATGAATTCATCAATTGTGGGTACGGAAAACTATCATTTATCATTCAAGGCCCTGTAGTTCTAGGGACAATGATACCTTTTTGTAGCATTTCTTGCACCATTTTTCTCAATTTGCTCTTTTTTTATTACTCAAAGGGTATTTATATGGTTTAACTAGATTAGCACCATGAACCAGTTGAATAGTGTGGCTGTGTGGGTATGGTATTTGGGAGGTGACAATCCTTTAGGAACATAAAAAACTTGTTGATACTTTTGTAATAAGGACGCCAATTCCGGTTTTATATTCGAAGGTCATTCGAACCTGTATTCTCGTGGACCATCAGTAGCTTGTAAGTACTTTTGCTGTTCGGAATTATTTGCAACATAGAGACCTGACACACAAGTTAAGAATACAAAGAAAGTTGTAGTTGAGTTGAGGGTTTCTCTTTCTAATTGGTATCGATTTCATATTTTCTTCCATTCTCGTCTCTCCTTCTACGAATGATTTCTCTTGCTGCGATTACGCGAAGTGGAGTCTCCAAAATGATAAGATCTATTTCTTTGCTTACCAAGTTTTGAAAGAAAGTAGCTTGCTGGAGAAACTTAAGCACCATTTCATTTTTCAATTCAAAGCTTGCTCTTTAATTTTCAAATTGGCTGAAGAAACAAAGTGAAGATTAAAGAGAGCATAAGGCATGTCTTATAAAAAAAGGGATAGGTGAAAAAAATGGGTGTAGATCATTCTATAATTTGAGATATGATAGAAGGAAAGAAATTAAAGACGAGGAAGAACAAGGATCTAGGTGCATAGAGATGCCCGTACTTGGGTGGATAAGAAAAGGTAGGAATGTCAGTGCAATCATTTTTCATTCCCCAAAAGAGCAATGTCGGGTCATACTTTGAAACCGCGAAAAATTAAAAGTGTTGCGTTTATTAAAGAATAGAGGAAATAGAAGAAATTAATTCAAATAATGGCATGAGTTTTTTGGATTCTTCTTAGTTGTGTGAATTGGATTGGACTGGGTAACATGCTTTTCTCACCCTGTACAGTAAAAAAGTGGTTGTTCAATACAAATTTGAGTGATAAGTTGTTATAATGACCTGCTCTGGGATTCTCAATGTGGGCAGCCAATGTGAAGCGTTGGTCCCGATTAAATCTTTAGAGTAGAGGGAGGGTGAAAATGACCTGTTCTTGAATTCTCTTTTATGTCTTAGTGGAATCTGTCCGTTTACAGAGTTGGCTCAAATCTAGACAGATTTGTCCTGGCAGTGGAAACAGTTATGTCTGGTTAGGTTGTCTGGAAAACAATACGGAAGATTTGTTTTCTCGGTCTCTAGAGTGAAATCTGTTAATGCACAGAGTACATGCTTTCGAGAGACAAATTTGCCTACGAAAAAGAAAAGTAAATGCGGTAAAGTAAATGACACCAGAGTTTTTATAGTGGTTCAAAGAACAACGCATTCCTCTAGTCCACTATTCCACTAAGCACTTGTAACCTCCAATTACAACACTTAATCCCCTACCTCTTAAGAAGTTTTCCACGTCTTCTTCAAGAGTAGCCAACTTGTCACTCGAGATGCAAACAACTTTTTGATGACTCATTGTTTCATCGAACTTTTAGAAGTATCACCACTTCACTCCGTTACTTTGGTGCCTCTGCTTTTGCAAGAAGTAATCATGTATGTAGAAATAAAGAGTTTCCTCTAACTTCTTTATAGAAGATATGCTGATGTAGATTTCGGAGTTTGTGGAAGAACAAGGATGAACATAGTTGAGGATGGGTTTGAGGATAGGAAATAATATCCTCCCAATCTCTCATTTGAATTTTTGTGTTGAATGTGTAGTTGTTAATCTCAAGAATTCTCCAGAAGAATTGGAAATTTCATAGAACATCTTTTGTACTGGTAGTGGTCATCATGTTGGAGTGAAGAAGACAACTTTATTTATTGCTCATCCTATTGATTCTCCTCTTGTAGTGATGAGCATGAATCGGTAGGATGCCCTTGTATTGCACAAACGCCGCATACCTTGACTTCGTGGGGTTTGGGGTTCAAGAGAAACTCCTTTTCCAAAGAAGTCAAGTCGGCTACTTGACTCTCAACAATGTGTTGGACTATGTTGCAAGAAGTCTCTTTGTTGAGGACCACCTATTGTAATATCTACAGTTCTCGGTCAACTTTATGATGAGACTCTTAACTTGGGAAGAGGTCTTGTTGACGATCCCCCCTCCACACGCGGTGTTGATCATCCTCCTATCATCATCACATAGACCATCATAAAAGTATAGTATGGAGTTTTGCTCCGAATAGTCATGATATGGGCAATTCCCAATTTGCACAAAGTTTCTTGAATCGTTCCCAAAATTCGCAGAATGGTTCATCTTCTTTTTTCTCTGCGTTGCTTATTTGCTTCTTTAGAGATAAGGAGACAAAGACCGTGTAATACCTTTCGAGGAAGCACTTTTTTATTGCTCCCAAGTATCTATGATTCCCGAGGGAAGATAAAATAGCCAATCTTTAGCGGTGTCTTTAGGGAGAATGGAAAAACCCTCAATTTGATTTGCTTCGCGGTGACACTGATCTTGTTTCTCCAGCCATGTTGATTGGTTCTCCAGATTCGCTAGAGCTAGAACAGCGTTTGATGGTTCTCCGGTAGATAATTCCTCTGACTCGATGCTTGAAAATTTGTTTTTGAACCGGATTTGGGGTTTGTTTGGTATGTGAGTTGATTTATAGACCGAATTCTTACCATATACTCAAACAAAGCTTAGAAAAAGCAAAAAATCTTACCATATGAGTGATGTTCCTATCTGGAGTTTCCTGACAAAAGCGTCATCCGGCCTCCGCATTTCGGGGCGGTTCCTGGTGGTATTTTTGCTCAATTTTTTTGTGAATGTTTTTCATCAAGTCCAGTTTATCCATACTAAATTTCAACTAAAAATTCAATCGAGAAGGCATTCAAATGATTTTTGGAAGTTAACTGCGCCCTTTATCATATAAAACACAGTTATCTTCTAAAACTCATTTGACTGTCTTCCCAATTGATTTCTTTGCTGAAATTTAGTATGGATAAACTAGGCTTGATGAAGAACATACAAAAAAGAATTCAGCAAAACATACCACGGGAACCGTCCCGAACAGCAGAGGCCGTCCGGGGAACCTGTCCGGACCGACCGAACATGAATAATCCTCTCACACACACACACATA